GTCTTCTGAAGAAACCAATTCTTTTAGGTGGCCTTATAGATAAAAAAAAAATCCAAAGGATTGATGTCGGGGGAAAGTGTAGGCCATGGAACCGGTCCTCCCCTACCTCTCCATCTTTCATGGTAGATATCAGCCAGTGCATTGCGAACAATGTGGCTAAAATGTGCTGAAGCCCCATCATGCATGAACTATATGTGTTTTAGCAGGGGGACATCTTCTAGCAGGTCTGGAAATGTGTTCAAAATTAAATCCCTGTAGACAGCTCCTGTGAGTTGTGCTGGGAGAACATATGGACCTACCAGACAGTCACCTACAATTCCAGCCTATACATTAATCGTTAACTGATATTGTGCATTTTAATATGGGGATTCCGATCCACTCACAAATGTTCACTGTGTAAACTTATTCCATCTCTTCCAAATGTTGCTTCATCCGTAAACAAGACTGAAGAGACAAACAGCGGATCGGCAGTTTGTGTAATGAACCATCGCCCAAAATTCTCCATTGGTGAGTGATCAGAGGGCGAAGGACCCCTGCACACTTGACGTGTGCTGATACCCGGGTCGTCTGCGCCAGCCTGTAGAATATGATTTTTCGTGGTCAGGCGTACGAGAGGATCTCGGTTTTCTTTGATCCATAGTTTGTGGTGTCACGGACCCTGCCTTAGCAACACGACTATCAACAGTAACAATGGTGGGATAACTCGGCTGTCTTCGGCCTGGAAACGCAATCTAATACAGCCGTGAAGCCTCGTGTCCATTACCACTCGCTCGGCCGTATGTAAAAATAGTATCTGCTTGCTCACGATATGAATATCCTGACATTGTTAAACGGAACACTTCTCTGTTAACTCATTACTACACACGTTTAACTTCGAAGACAGACTAGTCGCAAATGTACACGAATGACAAATGTAACCTTGTCTACATGGCAGTACAGCGTCATCTACAGTAAACATTCTTTAAACAATAACTCGAAAACTAAGTATTTAAGTTTATATGGACTTGTCCTTGTTTTTGTGTGAGTTGTAAAATTATTTTTGATAAACCCTATATATAAATATATATATATATATATAAATATATATATATATATATATATATATATATGTAAAAAGTGGACATTAAGTCAACACCCAGAGGCGGCTGTCTGTTTCATGATAAACGCAATCGATGTTTAGCATTAATCAGACTGTCGCCTCTTGGTGTTGACTTCAATGTCCACTTTTTTTTATCTATATACGCTCTATCCCTGACATTGAGCACTTTAACTCATGAATATAGCATATCTTAAAACTATATTTTATCACACTATATATATATATATATATATATATATATATATATATATATATATATATATATATATATATATATATATATATAGTATGGTATAATTATTAGTATTTGTTTTAAAATATCCACCAGAAAGCCAAATAATGAGGAGCATTCTCCTTACTTATCAATGGCTTTTGACAAGCTTTGGCATCCGTGGGTTTCTACGTAAACTCTCCAACTATAGAATCTCAAGAAGAGTCGTCTCACTTATCCTTCATCAGCGTTCCACGATGTTCTTTCCTCCGTCCTACTCTCTTTCTACTCTATAGGGTGATTGAAAAGTAACTCCTAATTTTATGTATGAGTGACCAACCAGGAGACTTGACTTAATACTTTGTGACTTTTTTCTTTGGGGTTGGTTAAACAAGCAAGTTTACTATACCAAACCAAGACTTTGGAAGAACTTGAAGACTGACTGCAAGAAGTTGTCTTCTATACCACAAGAGTTTCTGGTGAAATCAGTCAACGCGATTCCTGGGCGGCTCAAGTAGCAAAATCTGGTCACCATATCGAATTTGAAAACCTCATGTTTCCCTCTCATATCCATTTATTCTAAAAACTATAGTAAATAAATAAATTATATGTATCCCATAAGACACATCAAAACAGAAAAGCTGGGATAAAATAAACTGCGAGGCCAATTTTAATAAACTAAGACTGTCTCTAGATCAGCACCGCCTCGACTGTCTCCTATCTGCTTCAAAACCGAGTAGTGGCGTCTGGCTCAACGCAGTGCCCTCTTCATTTACCGGTACCCTTTCTAGATGATGAGTGCAGTCGGGTCGGAGTCGCGATCCGTCTTGGACTCAATTTATGTGAGCTTCACAGATGCAGATGTGGAGCTTCCATTGATGAGTTTGGTTTGCCTCCTGTCGTCGTAGTGCAGGCCACTTTCCAAAGCATGCAGCAATAAACGACATTATCAGGAGAGGTTTGGATACAACGGGATTCCTCTCCCAAATCCGACCCGGAGGCCTCGACCGTTGTGATGGAAAGCAGGTCTCTTGCAACTCTCACTATTTCCAGAGGGGAAGGAAGGAACGAAAAGAGGGTAGGAAAGAATGAAGGAAGGGAGAGACGAAGGAAAGGAAGGAAGCAAAGGAGGATGGAAAGAAAAAAGGAAAGAATAAAGAAAGGGAAGAAGAGAGAAGGAAGGAAGAGATTTAGGAAAGGATGACGGAAAAGAAGTAGGAATGTATGAAGGAAAGGAGAAAGGAAGGAAGGAATGAAGGAAGAGAGGAAACAGAGAAAAAGGAAGGAAGGAGAGTAGGAAAGAAAGAATGAAGAAAGCAAAAGGAAGAGAGATAGAAAAGAATGAAAGAAAGAAGGAAGGAAGGAAGGATTGAAGAAAGAAAAGAAAGAGAGAAAGAAAAGGAGGAAGAGAGGTTGGGAATTCTTAAAGGAGAGAAAGAGCAAAGGAATGATAAAAGAGAAAACACAGTAGAAGCAAGATCCACTAGGACAGCTCCTTCCTAAGACCTGCTGCTTCGTGGAAGACGACATTCGCCAAGGTAATTACACAATCACTGCCGTCTTGAACTCTATGTATTTTTTGGCTTATACATTAATGCAAACCCTCTACCTTGAGTGGCTCTTCAGCCTTGTATTGGGTGAACAGTAATATAAAAAATTATTAAAAAATAATTGCGTAATAGTAATGAATAGTTGAAGAGAGACCACCGAATAGTAAAAAAGAAATGATGTGTGTGCGTGCGCATGCGCATATCTATACCGTGAAACTAACGTTTACTATAACTCTACTGTCTAACGTTGGATTAGAGTTAAAAGTGTGTGTGATGCTTTGTCGTTCTCAACTGGAATCACAACTTTTGACTGAGGGAGCTCCAAAAGAATTATTAAGGAATTCAAGAAATCAAAAGAATGAATGAATGAAAGAAAGACAGAAAGAAAGACAGAAAGACAGAAAGGGCAGATGGAGACGAAAGAAAAAAAAATCAAGGGAGTAAATGAATGATAGGTCAAAACGGAAACGTGTCTAATTTGCGATTAATTAAAATTCTTTAAGAGAAAAAGCAAAAGAATGATAAAAGAGAAGACCTTATTTGTGTATTCCTTATACTTTTTGGCCCTGAGACTAATTCAAGAGTACAATGGGGTGCTCAGTCTAACCAAAAAGGCATGAAACGTACATTCCATTCGCCCCATCACACAATGTGCCTCACATTTCTTTAATCTTTCAAATAATGTTTTGCTCAGTGATTTTGGGTAGGGAACGTTGAACACTCTTTCATTTAAAGATGGACGGGGAGTTTGGAAGGGATAAGGGAAAGGATGAGAAGATACAGGCAAATGTGAGCTAAGAGCAGAGGCGTGAGATAATTGATAATCTTTGTTGTATTGGAAGGGATAAAGGCTAGAATGAGAACATATAATCAAAAGGTAAGGTAAGTGCACAGGTGTGAGGAAATAAATTAGTTTTCAAAACCCGTAGAATTTCTACGGATCCAACGAGTCGAAATAGTTATCTACTAATCAGGCAATTTTTAAACCTAGGATGGTGTTGTCATTAGTTATCGACCTTCCCACTCCGAAGAACTTCGTCTTGAGGATTTAAACATTTCTCCACTTTCAAATTAGAATAATTTCCCGGGTTTTGAAGATGAACTACAGTCGTTTTCCTGTCATGAATAAACATTCTCTGCACCCCCCTCCGGTTTTTTGACTTTCTTACACTAAGGTTAATGTTTAATCCCATGATATTGTTAAAGTTTCGTATTCTTGTTGGGAAAAGAATGAAATGAAAGTTACTGCGTGAATTCTAAAGCTCATTAACCACAACATTCATCTCAGAAAGAGAAAATGGAAAACAATAAAGACATAAGTTCAAGTAATGCGTTGAATAATAGAATTCAGTGGCATTTTTTGTTCTGCCTTTTAGTTCCAGTTCTGCTTCGCTTCAGTGACTTTTTCGCAGACGTCATGGTCCTTTGTTGCTTGGCCTCGTCTCTAGATAGTTACAAAAATGGAAAAGCGAGCAAGAATAACAGTAGAAAAAAGATATTTTTAATCTGTGTACGAAAGTCAAAGGTTCATAGAAGCAGAATAAAAGAGTTCGTGGGAAATTTGATAGAAAATGGAATCGATTGAGACAAATTATTGATTGGTGAACGATAGAGTGGGTATCGATAGGAAAGGATAAGGAGATCGGGCGGAAGATGAGAGAATGAGGGCGGGTGGATGACGAGAGAAATAGGAAAGGCGGATAATGAGAGAAGTAGGGAGAGTGGACGATGAGAGAATAAGGAAGGGTCGATTATGAGAGTAGGAGGGCGATATATGTGATAAAAGTGAGCAGTTGAAGAGATAAGATGGGCGGACGATGAGAGAATAAGGAAGCGTGAATTATCAGTGAAGGAGGGCGGATGGATGATCATAGAAGGAGGAAGGTTGGATTATCGGAAGAGGAGGACGTGTGCATGATGATAGAAAAGACATTTCGGGCGATTGATAAAAGGAGGAGGAAGAGGATGTGGGAAGAAGCGTGGATTATGAAAGGAGGAGGGCAGGCGGAAGATGCGAGGTAGGCGGATGGTTGATGAGAGAAGGAGGAACGGCGGATGATGTGAGAAGAAAGGGTGGAAAGTTGAAGAAAAAAAAGTCAGATGATGAGAGAAGAAAGAGGGCAGATGACGAGTGAGAAAAAAAAAGGGAGGTTTATGAGAGATGGGCTGGCGTTTCATGTGAGAAGGAGAGCGAGCGAATAAAGAGAACAGAATAGCGGGCGGATGATGAAAGCGGGAAGTCGGCAGATGGCGAGAGATGAAAGGAGATCGCTGGATGAAAGAAGGAAATGGCGGACGATGAGAGCGGAAAGTCGGCAGATTATGAGAATTGAAAGGAGAGAGATGATGAAAGAATTAAAAGACGAATGATGAAAGCCTGAAGTCGGCACGTGGCGAGAAATAAACGGGTGAGCGCGTGATGAAAGAAGGAAATGGCAGACGATGAGAGGAAAAATGTGGCTGAAATTGCGAGAGATTAAGGGAGATCTCGTAATGCAAGAAGGAAATGGCAGATGATGAGAGGAAAAATGTGGCTGAAATTGCAAGAGATTAAGGGAGATCTCGTAATGAAAGAAGGAAATGGCAGATAATGAGAGCGGAAAGTCGGCAGACGACGAGAGATGAAGGGAGTGCGCGTGATGAAACATTTCAAAGGTGGATGATGAAGGGTGAATAATGGTAGAAGATGGATGGCAGAAGCAGGGTGGTTAGGTAATGAGAGAAGGAGTGGTGGTGTATGAGAGAAAAATCATGGGCTGCTGATGAGATAAGGAAGCAGAGAAGTGATGAAGATAATTACAGTGGATGCGGTTGATGTGAGAAAACGAAAGGGCGGAGGAAATGAACAGAAATCGAAATTTGAAACTAAAAGATGTTACATTAGATTAGAAGAGAAAACCTCCAATATTGATACCCAATTTCGTCAGTGAAAGAAGGTCATTTCCAATTGAAGAACATTGCAGCCGAAATTGATTACGTCATAAGAACAACAAAATTAATGATATAGATATTTATTTAGTTTATTTTAGTAAGGTATTATGTAGTAAGGTATAAGTGATTATGAGTGAAAAGATTGTATTGCGACAATACTCTCTGCTTAGCAATGCTCGCATTCGTTATTTGGTTTCCATAAACATTTAGCAAGAGTCGATGAATGTCCCTGGGCATAATAGATTTCTTATTCAATGACACACTTTCATATCAGACGTCATTTTGCCTGAATGTTATTTGTAACAATACAAAAATCATTTCGGTTTCTGGCGGAAAGTTTAATCCCTGATGAAAAAAAGGAATGCAGGTTCAATTGGTGTCGGGAGTATAATTTTTATTTAGTACGACTTCTCAATTTAGGCAAGCTGTTGTCCATTTTAGTGTAAAATAAAATAAAAAAGTACATAGATTGCAACTCAAACGCTTGTGGCCACTAAAATTAACTTTTCGAGTCACAAGAAATCATGTCGGATAAAAAAATCCTTTTCAGAAATAAACTGTCATTTACGGTTTAGGTACGGTAAGGAAAGAGAAAAGCTAATACGCAATTCAAACCTTGCTAGTAATGGCACAACTTGGCTAAAAAAGTGGTTTCCCTGACGGAAAAAAGGGATACAGGTTCCATTCTTGCTTGAGGCCAGTTGTTATTAATTGCGCTCTTTGATAAAACAGAGGGATCAATTCAAACGCGTGTACCCACTAAAAATAACATATATAGTAATGAATATATATATATATATATATATATATATATATATATATATATAGGATTGGTGTATACGGAATAAATTCCAATAACCAACAAATACTATCCTTAAAAGAGTGCTCAATACAGAGTAGAGCAAATATAATTATTTATTCGAAAATTATAACATAAATATATTATAAAATCACTACAAAAATAGCCATTTTGTTTCAACACTCCTGGTGTCTTATATGAAGTAATGAGATTTAACATCATCATTTGATATAAGACACCAGAAGTGTTGAAACAAAATGGCTATTTTTCTAGTCAAATATTAAATTAAATTAAATATTTTCAACCCATTTATATTTTTCCTTTACATTCGGACTAATATTCTCATCTTTGCTGGTATAAAAACGTTTTTGTCACTGTGCCATCCGGTGATAATAACAGCAAAGATGGGGATATTAGTTTGAATGTTAAATTTACTTTAATCCAATTATTTAAATTCATCTAAGAAAAAATGCGTAACAGTCATTTGCAATGAAAATGTGTTTACCAATTCCACAACCTTTCTCTAAGTTATTTTCTGATATCTATCTCTCTGTATTCTCTCTCTATTTATTTATATATATATATATATATATATATATATATATATATATATATTTACAATTTCAAGTTGCGATCGTTCTTTCATTCTGTGTCATTGATTTTGATACTAAAAAGAATGAAGATGACTGGCGTTAGGACAGGGTAAAATCTATCAAGATTCATTTCATGCCTTTTTGAAAATGTTATCTCTTCGAAGAGAAATGTATCTACTTTAACGGAGATGGAGAACTTGACAAATTTCAACTCGTCATTTTCATTCTCAATGCACAGAAATGAATATTGCGGAGTCAACTTATGATATTTAGATGTTATCTCTTTAAAAAAAAAGGTTCTATGCTTAAATCAAAAGTGGAAAAGTTAAAACAAAATCATGGATAAAAAAGGCGGTTTATCTAAGCTGTACAATTTTAACCGAAGTGAATTTACTGTTTCAATTCGCTTTGATAAGTGAATGGGTCAATTTCAAAAGTTATTTGTTTTCATCAAAGCCATTTGTGCTAAATCAATTTATCCATAAATGTCGATCAATACCGACTATAAAGCTGAATCTTTTCTTTTTAAATCAAACAGTATTTCTTTTCGCAACTGTGCAACGCCACTTATTGCTGACATGAAAGTTGAAATTGATTTTCATTCGGTATTACGATAGACATTGGAATCCTTAATAGGATCTGTTGAGAGAATCGCTTTCAGGAGGAACAATGTATGCGACTATGTCCATTAAAATGACAAACGATTAAAAATAGGCCAATAAAGTCTCTTCGCAGATTTTATTTTCTCAAAATGGACGCTCAATGAATTTAGCCTTCTTTCCCGAAGCACCTTTTCAAGTTTAGACAAAGAAGCACCTTTTCCAGTTTATCGCTAATAAATGGTGTGGTGGGGTTCTGGGTGCATTTTTCGATGCCATGTATCTTCAAGACATAGGCGATCGTAGATTACTTTTTTAAAATTATAGGTGAAGTGCAATGATTTCTTGGGAAATATAGTGTAGTAGTTTCTCGGATTCTCCACGATCATGAATTCAGAATTTTCCATTCCTTTAGATTTGTTGTCTTTTAATCGATAGGCAGGGATTGACGGATTCGTGCCTTTCTCATGGATATGTTTTGCGGAAGTAAACATCATAGATTAGTCTGGAATTTGAACTCTGTTCACTGATTCCATTTGTTATGATGATATTCGTTCCATTAGCTGCGCCTATCTTATGTCTATACCCAGACGTTAAAGGTGAATTTGCATGAAACAATTGAAGACTTGCCTCATTAAAATATTGTGATCTTCTAACTTTTGATCTCCCGAAGCAAGAAGATGACAATTCTTTTTGGGTGTCCGATGTACTCGTAGAAATAAAAGAAGGTCTTTGTTAAGATTTATAACAATCTTTTTCACATTTTTGAAACACTAAACGATATGACTTTCATTCATATCCTACACCTCATTGATCACGCCCATTTTGGCAGTCACTCTCTACCTCGAGTGGCCCTCATGCCTTGTATTGGGTAATTTCTCGTCATTCATATCACGCAATTACCATATTGATAGTAACCCTCCAGTTGATGGGCTGTCGGTCATTGTGGGGTGTGCGATTGGTGTAATAGCAACTCGGAATAAAAATCGGAAAGTTCGAATTCCACTAGGGTTCAGTATATTCCCTTTATGCGTATATATAATCTTGGCTTAAATAATAGGACCTGGAACTGAAAAATTCTTTGCTATTCTGAAAAAAATTCTTCATGCAATATTCATTCGCCAGAAAAGAATAATTCTTACAATCCAAAATATATTTTGGCTTTAAATAACCCACAAAAGGGTTGATAAACCGTAAAAAAATAATCAAACAATCTCGTACCTTGGATAAATTCTAGTTATTCATATCATATACCTCATTCATCATTGCGATTTTAACAGTAAACTAATTTGAGTGGATGGTTTTGTACTGGTTGAATTCGCGTATCAGTTTTCATTCTAAGAGTTTTCTGGAGTACTCAACATTAAGTATTGGTTTTGAGTTTCGTTAAAGACACTGGAACAAGGAACGCGATATTCATGCTCAGAATGGTATCAGAAAGAGCAAAACAGATGCAGAAGAACATGTACCCATGTTTCATAAACTACGCAAAAGACTTTGACAAAGTACGCCACACGGATCTGATGGAACTGCTCAGCAACCTTGATATATTCGGGAAAGATATCAGAATAATCAAGAACCTATACTGGCAGCAAACAGCATGCATTCGCATAGGGAATAAGTTCAGTGAATATACAAAAATAGAAAGGGGCGTAAGGCAAAGATGTGTCTTCTCACTCAACCTGTTCAACTTATATAGCGAGTCAGTCCTGAGAGAATTGGAAACCTTACCGGGATTTAGCCTTGGCGGCCACAATCTTACAGCATAAGACTCGCAGATGACACAGTACTGATAGAGAAATGAAATTACAAAATCTCCAACAGAAGGTAGAGATGGAGAGTAAGAAGAAAGGAGTAAGCATAAACTACAAGAAGACGGAGTGTATGGTCGTCAGAGGATGAGTCCGAAATGCGATCTGAAGGCCGGGAACACTAGAATCAAGCAGACGCGAAAGTTTAATTATCTGGGAAGCATCTTGACAAAGGACGGTAAGTGCGACACTGAGATCTATAGGTGTATTGGGATGGCCAAGGACATATTCCAAAAGTTGAACAGAGTATTGCGAGACAAGAGTATATCGTTGGTAACAAAGAAAAGAATACTGAACTGTTACGTGATATCTGACTTCTTTACGGCAGCGAATATTGGACGATTTCCTCAAAGATGAAGAGACTTGAGGCGACGGAGATGTGGTTCTACAGAAAAAAGCTAAGGATATCATGGACTGAGCGTGTGAGCAACAATGAGATCTTAGAGAGGTTGCAAACAATGAGGAGGCTTATACTTAATACCAAGAAGAGGCAGCTGATGTTTCTTGGATACATAATGAGGAAGGAGGGCCTGGAGAATCTGATACTCTCGGGTCGAATAGTTGGAAAGAGAGACAAGGGAAAACAACGCGTGACATACCTGGCGGACACAAGCAAGTGGATGACAGAATGTGGTCTGGGGGTGAAAGAAGAGGGAAGGAGAGCTGCAATGGATAATGGAGAGCCATGATCGCCTACGTCCTGAAAGCACATGGCACATAAAAACAATGGTTAACAATGCGGGAGGCTATAAAAACATTCACCTCATTGTATGGGTGGAGGAAGTGTTGTAGTGCGTCTTCGTAGCTGTGAGGTTAATAACCATCATCCGACATTTATTCATTTAATAATACATTAGACGTTGTAAAGCTTCAACGCCATGTAAACATTTCTTCGAATATCGGCCATTAAGATTTTTATTATTTTCTGTTTTCTTATCGTCTGTTTTAGTCATCACTCTAACCACATGTTTTTTTTTAATTTCGATCTAATAAGGTCACAACTAATTTAAAATTGCAGACAACTAATTAAGAGGTTATTGTTCTTTAATAAATGTTGGAAAAAATCAGTATGGAGGCTGATTTTTGTTTTTGATTATTTTTTGCTATTTTTTCTTTTTTATATTTTTTATATTTCTCTTTGTTTTAACTGAAAAGGCTACTTTTTGTGTAAATCATAAACATATCTCAATTGCTGTCGGAGTAAAAGTAGCGAATTTATCTGCGTTGGTAAGATTTTGGCTTCAAGGACGCATTCTAATCGAGACATTCAATTATTTGAAACAATCAAATATAATTTTAGTAAAATAAGTGTTAATGGTCACAGTAATATTAGCCATTTCCTTATAAGGAAACATTCAGCTTTCATTGACTGCGCAGCTTGTACCACCGTCGGTTGAAATTAATAAAATAGGTTTCCCAAGTCTAGAAGCCGTTAACGTTCTTTTGATGCAGGTGGTGGGGTGTCTTTCTTAACTTTTGATTTAAAACAGTTTGGAATTATGTGATTATGGCCTTATTTTCTCTTTCAGTTACATGTGATATCCATTTTAGTTGTTGCTGCTTTTGAAAGTCCTCAAGTGACGTGGTTTCTGTTATTTGCTACAGTTTTTTTGTGACTCTGTAGCGCCAGTTCTGAACATTTTGAACAATGTGCAAACATAAAAACTTATATTAAACTTAAGACTGTGAAAGTTTTAAAATTTTTCGAAAAATTATTTTGGTGAAGAAATGACATCTCTGAAGATGCCATATACAATATTCATTAAACATAAACTATAAATATTGCCTTCTCGCCCCCCTCTCTCTTCCTTAAACCCTCTTTTGTCTGCTCCCCATTTGCCCAAAACCGTTCGGTAGCTTATGAGATGTTTTCGCCTCTCATTTCTGCTCTTCAAAATGCCCTGTCAGTATTAAATTTATTATTTCTAATAAGCAAAATACTTATTTTAAAAAAATAATTTAAATTGACTAGTAAAAAATTCTTTTTATTTTTTTATAAAGTACATGATTCGCGCCCTTTTTTTTTTAGTCGTCTTTCATTTCAATCTAATTCTCTTTATTAAAAAAAATCTTCCAAAAATAAAATCTACTTTTCTGAAACTTTATTTGAGGAATATTAGCTGATTTAAAGTTTAATTAATTTGATGTGAATCGAAAATTATTTACTTTTAGTTTAAATTATCTCATTTTTTAACCAGACTGTAAATGTGTTTTTGATTTGACAGTAGCTATGGTGACGTTTGACAAGATGATGACAAATCTAACTTTCTTTTACGGAGAGTTCTTTTATAAAACAACTGAAGTGGGGATATATTTTTACATAATTTTTAAGTACTCAGTAATCTTTAAAATTTAAGCAAATATTTTCCGTAATCTAATGTTTTGTTGAATTTTCTTTAAATTTATTATAGTTATCGTTCTTATTGTCTGATAATATCATGGTCATCCGTACTTACAAAAATCGGCACGTTTATACACAAATAAAATTAAAAAAAAATTGTTGTTCTATGATCTGAATTAAGTTTTTCCATTTATGATTAATAAATATAGTTTTCATTTAATAATCATATCATATAAAACTGAAATTAATACAGAATTTTAAAAGATTTAAAACTTAATTCGTTTTCTAAATAAAAGTCAAAAGTGAAAACACTTAAAAAAAAAATTCATCGAAAAAATGTTTTTTCTAAAAAAAATAGTATAATATATCTTATTTATAAAAGAAATCAAAAGCTTTTCTAATTAAATAATCTCATAGTTTTATTGCATTTTTTTATTTTACAATTCAGAGCAGATTTTCAGTAAATGCTGTTTCTCTTTGGCAAGAACAAATAGATGATATAAATTCTCCAAGAAATCTTGCTTTTAAACATAAAAACCCCGGAATTTTATTTTCTCGAAATTTTATAAAATTAAGTATGTGAAGGTGACAGACGTAAAAAAACATTTTTACCAAGATTGTCTAAAAAAACAGATTCCACAAATAATTCAATTAATTTGTAGATCTGAAAATTTTCCTTAAAATCCGACGATTATTTGATTTTTGCAAGAATTTCCAAAACAGTGTGTTTTTAATGCCAAAAAGACTCTAAAATTTCCAATACTAAGCTTTGGTTCACTCGCTGAGGCAAGAAAACAAGATTTTTAACCCAAATTTGGAACGTGCTAGAAAGGATTAAAAAGATTTAATAAGATAATCAAAAATACGTTAGTTTTTCCTTTTAATAACAAACATTTTGACGCTAAAACTTTCTTTTTCTTAAGGTTGGGGCCATTAGACGAGAAAATCATGGTATACTCTTTTTTCAGCGAATTATTGCATGTACATTTACCTTATTCATTTCTTGCTTTCCATTTTGTAAATGGTCGCCTTTAATTAGTGTTCTAACATTCCACGTCTCGAGAATTATTTTTTTATGTACACGACAAATTTGAACCCTTTTTCTCTTTTATAGGCTCGCCTCGATTTTAAACAGGATAAAATGTTTCTTTATAAAAAGAACACACACACACACACACACACACACACACACACATATATATATATTTTTTTTTTTTCAGGTTTTATGAATAAAGTCCATAAGTTTATAAGTGTATTATGTGTTAATCTTGTCTCCTCACAATCAAAAAGGAGGATTTGTGCCCTTCTTTTAAACATAACCATAAATTGTTTGTTTTGTTCAAGAAAAAACGAAAAAAGTACTGATCTCTGAAATTTATATCTCTAGCTAATTTGCCATTGTACTTGAGATGGTTCGTTATTAATTTGATCGGAAATTCTGTAATCGAATTGTGGCTTGAAATCAATGGCTATAAATTCTATTGACTTGATTCTTTTTGAATCAACACAGCGTGCAAATCTTGTCAAGCTTTTAAACTTTTATATTCTTTACGCAATGGTAAGTCGTGTATGTGGAGCATATACAGATACTAATACTTGACTCCTGTTGACACACCGACATTTTGATATGTGTTCAGTTTTATTAAATGTTTGCTATTATCTCGTTTAAAAGCTTTTATTCTTTGAAATAAAATTGAATAAGACTCGAAACAAAACGAAATGAAATTCGAAACAAAATGAAATAAGATTCGGGTTACTCAATGCAAAAAAAAAAAGAATTGCTTGAATGTGTTTCCAGGTTTGTGATAGAAATTCTTATCGATATAGAAAATTCCCCATTTTAATTATTTTAGCAAAGCCTTATCGACAATAATTTGTCCTTATCTTAACTTTCCTCGTTGCTTTGCTCAGAAAGGTGACGTGAGTTCAAGTCTTACCGGGAAATTAACTTTTATTTTATTTTTCGGTCGATGTTGTTTGTTTGCTGCCGTAGATTCACGATCCAAGTAAAGTTTCAAAAATAGACAACTAAAAGTTATGAATAAGTAATCTGAGAGTCTGAAAATAAAAATAAGCAACATTTGACAACGGTTTTTCTTCTAAACATAGATATTGATAATAACGTTGTTGCTAAGACGACGAGTTTGAGAACGAATAACAAATATGGAGGCGAGAGAAGACGAGAGTGAATAAAGACTTGGTCATCTGTTAATCAGAGAGTTCCCTGTAGTTAAAACAGTAAGATATTGTTAACCTGGATTTCCTGAAGAATAAGAAAAAAGTCTCACTGTAAACTTAACCATTATCGTTTTGTGATTGGTACTGATAACTTGTGGCCATAAATTGACGTTGCAGTTAAAAATTTAAGAAAAATTACGCATCAAAATTAAAATTCTAGTAAGGGAAAACGTTTGCATTTGAGATTGTCATTTTGTCTCTGACGGATTTTAATTTCAGTCTCTCTTTGTCTTCTCTCTCTCTCTCTCTCTCTATTTCTCCCACCCCACATTTGATTTCTTTTTCCACTCCTTCATTCTCCATTCTTCTCTTACTCTGTTTCTACTCTTTCCTCATCCCTTTAGTTCCTCTTCTCTGTTTCTACTCTCCTCCTCTCTTTGAAACCTCTACCTCTTTCTGTTTCTTCTCTTTCCTATTCTGTCTCTGCGAGTTTTATATTTATCCACCCTTTCTTTTCTTCTTATTTATTCTCTTTCACCTCGAACTCTCTCTTTTTCTCTATTTCCTCTTCCCACTTCATTTCATTCTTTCTCCATATTCACCTCTCTTCCCCCATTTTTTTCTCTTCTTTCTTCCTCTATTTTCCTTGTTATCCCTGCTTCCCACCGTCAATTTCCCTTTTTCTCTTTTCCGATTCCATCTCTTTTTTCTATTTCTATCTCCCTCTCTAGTTTTTTTTTTCTTTTTGCCCGCCCAGAGTTTAAAAGTAAGAAGTACACTTAAAAACTGAACTAAAAAAAATCCATTTTTTGACAATCTTGTCCGGTGCTTTGAAAGAATGTTTTCTTTATGTGGAATCCCAAGACAAACCGAAGCGAAACTCATATTCTTGACTATCCATCCATGGAAACCAGAATCAAAAGAACTAAGTTCCAATGAAACGAAATCTCTGAGGATTAAGCGCTGAGAAGAAAAAAACAAAAAAAGAAATCATAAAAGAGAATTTTAATCAGATTAAATCGAAATTTTGCTTACGGTCTTTGTCATAAAAAATAAAATGAATACTGTTCATATTAATTAATGGATATTAATATAACTGATGAAAGATAAAAATAATGAACCATCGACCCCTCTATATTGGTCACGCAATATCAAAGAACTGATGCTCATAGTTTTTAGTCTTATATCGATGATATTAGCATTCACTAAGCTACAATTACTGAAAATACCGTTAACTGAACATCTTCCTGTTTAAACCTTCTCGAAAGTTCATATGCGCTAACTTTATTTTCGTATCAAAAATGTAAACACAATAATTACGTCTGCCGCTGTGTACATTCGAGAGTCTTAATAGAGGAAATACAGCAGATATATAAGAATCTGCTCGAAGAAGTTCCTTAAAAAATCATCATTTTGAAACTGATTTTCAAAGCGAACAGACTTTCCCTACTTGAAAGATTGGCTCAGCATAATCTTTGTCATCGCATATTTTGCTGTTCAGCTTTGTACCCTTAAAGTGTAAAATCAAAGGATAATCATATTTAAAACATAAAGAAGGTATTGATTCTTCATTTTAGATCGATGAAAATATTTAGAATAGAAAAGTTTACTTTGTTTATCAAAACAGATAAAGTTAATTTTGTTAGCATATGAAATTATCTGATTCGAATCAATCGTTTAAAACAAAGAAAAACTGATTTAATGAAAACAGATGGTTAAAACTGATTTGATTATATTACGTAAATTGATTTGCTTCTGAATAATTCGAACATTTTCATGACACCCCAGACAGAGTAAATTTCATTATTCCAACCATAAATGCTAAATGATCTGCAAAATTTTGATAACCGATGTTTATCTAATTTTAGATTTATTTTTTATTAAAAGACTTCCAACGATTCTTGATATTGGGAATTGTGCATAAAAAACTATTTCACATCCACCAAATGCTAGCAGGGTATTCCGTGAAGAGAATCTTCGAAAGAAAATAAAAGAAACAGAATAGAATTAGGTTCTCTCCAAGTTTTGCTTACAAATATTTGAAGAAATATAAAATGTTTTTCTTTCATTTAGATTCTATGAACAGAAACGTAAATTCCAAAGCATTTTCTTTTTGTTAACCCGTTAGCAGCTTTAAATTTTATCAAGGAAAATTATTGGAATTGTAAATACATTAAAACATCTTATAACCTCCATCAACATTCAATTATTAATTTTTTTTAAAAAGATTTTACTCGTTCAATTTTAATTTACATAGTTTTTTCTTTAATTACTTCACAAAAATTAGAAGAGAAGCAAAATCATCCTCTGATGAAATTAACTTCAGTCAACTCCATAAAAAAATGCACATCTCTTATTGGAACATTTCGAAATTTATGTCAATGGTCTTAGCGTCATTTTTTAAAAGAATTATTTATCCGGCATTATTTCTTATTACTTTAGCGATTAATTTGTTTTTTTTTTACGGCTTATCAACTCTTTGCAGGTTATTTAAAGCCATAAATATTTTTAGATCGTAAGACATTATGAAGATAATAATTATTTACTAATACAAGTCCTACTACTTAACCCATAGCTGGGGAAGAAGAGGAGGATTTGTATCGTTTCCAAGAGTATTTGGACATCAGTGAATATAAAAAAACCCGACTGGAATTGAAACTTGGTAGTCAGATTTTAAATTCTGAGCCGTTATCAATCCCAAGCTGATGGGGGGGAAGAACACCACGTAATATGGCCGTTGCCTCCCTAGTATTATAAATGTTATCTTTAATGGGGGCACGTGCTTGCGTAGATATCCTTGTTATTTTAAGCAGTAGAATTAATGTCGACCGGCCTAGAGATCGAGAAGAGATTATTGTATTTAACCCCCACACACAGATATATTTAGATATATTTATATATATATATATATATATATATATATATATATATATATATATATATATATACGCAGTAGTTTAGCCCTGCAATGAAACAATGAATTTGAATGGTGAATTTTGAACATTGTTTGTGCAGAAATCACTATATATATTTCTGATATGTGTCATTTATATAATATTTGTACAGAAAGAATAGAGCAATCTGAATATCTGGAGGACTGGTTGCGCGACCTTGATTCAATTGCATAAACGTACAGAGGTTATCGTACTGCGTAGATATGAACAGATACTCTCCCGTGGAATTACTCTGTCGACAGTGAAATGCCATTGAGTAAATCTGTGTCCAATGTGACCGTCGCATTTACAACAACAGGGACCATAGATTGTTCAGAGTTCGGTCGGAAAAGTTGGCACAACATTTTAATACTTGCTGGTCTTCTTAAAGTCCACTTTTGCTACATTTAACTTAGAAAATATGAATCCGCCGCTGAAAGCTCGTGGACGAGATTATAGAAGAGTCAAAGATACAATTGGTGATTAAGAAAAGAGACTTTTACAGATTGTTTTCAATAAGGGAATAGACATCTCAAAATTTTGAAATAGACAATGGTGCCATTATCCGAGTTTGACCATTTTTATCATTTCTATTGAATGGCTGGATATGGCTTCAGTATTATTTGTTGAGGATATGATCACCGATAAATGAAACGTTATTTCTTTATATATACGTAGCTATGTCACGGCCTAGTTTGCAGTGTGCTTACATGTATCTATTGCCTTATATTATTCAGTACCTTCTTTTTTCTCGCCTCCTTTTCTATTACCTATATCTATTGCCTTATATTATTTTTTTTTTCTTTCTCCTTTTTCTATCCTATCTATTGCCTTCTATTACCTATTCTTTTTCAGTACCTCCTTTTCTCGCCTCCTATTCTATTATATCTATTGCCTTATATTATTTTCTTTTCTCGCCTCCTTTTATTATTACCTTCTTTTTATCTATTCTTATATCTATTATTTTCTTTTTCTCTTCCTATTCTATTACCTATATCTTATATTATTCAGTACTCTTTTCTCGCCTCCTATTCTATTACCTGTATCTATTGCCTTATATTATTCAGTACAATATTTTTCTCGCCTCCTTTTCTATTACCTATATCTATTGCCTTATATTATTCAGTACAATCTTTTTCTCGCCTACTATTCTATTACGTGTATCTATTGCCTTATATTATTCAGTACCTTCTTTTTTCTCGCCTCTTTTTCAATTACCTGTATCTATTGCCTTATATTATTCAGTACCTTCTTTTTCTTGCCTCCTTTTCTATTACCTGTATCTATTGCCTTTTTTATTCGTACCTTCTTTTTCTCGCCTCCTATTCTATTACCTATATCTATTGCCTTATATTATTCAGTACCTTCTTTTCTCGCCTCCTTTTCAATTACCTGTATCTATTGCCTTATATTATTCAGTACCTTCTTTTCTTTCTTTTCAATTACCTGTATCTATTGCCTTATATTATCTTACCTTTCGCCTCCCTATTCTATTACGTGTATCTATTGCCTTATATTATTCAGTACCTTCTTTTTTCTCGCCTCCTTTTCTATTACCTATATCTATTGCCTTATATTATTCAGTACCTTCTTTTTCTCGCCTCCTTTTCTATTACCTGTATCTATTGCCTTATATTATTCAGTACCTTCTTTTTTCTCGCCTCCTTTTCTATTACCTATATCTATTGCCTTATATTATTCAGTACCTTCTTTTCTCGCCTCCTTTTCTATTACCTGTATCTATTGCCTTATATTATTCAGTACCTTCTTTTCTCGCCTCCTATTCTATTACCTATATCTATTGCCTTTATACCTTCTTTTCAGTATTCTCCTTTTCTCCCCTTTTCTATTCCTTTTCTATTATCTATTGCCTTATATTATTCAGTACTTTTTCTTCTTTTTCTCTCCTCCTTTTCTATTACCTGTATCTATTGCCTTATATTATTCAGTACCTTCTTTTTTTCTCGCCTCCTTTTCTATTATTCTGTATCTATTGCCTCCTTTTATATTACCTGTATCTATTCTTATATTATTCAGTACCTTCTTTTCTCGCCTCTATTCTTTTTCTATATTCTATTGCCTTTTATTATTCATTACCTTCTTTATTGCCTTCTTTTCTATTACTTTCTATATCTATTGCCTTATATATTATTCAGTACCTTTTTTCTCGCCTCCTTTTCTATTACCTATATCTATTGCCTTTTATTATTCTCCTTTTTTTCTATTACTTCTTTTTTATTCAGTACCTTTTTTCTCGCCTTTTCTATTACCTGTATCTATTGCCTTATATTATTCAGTACCTCTTTTTCTCGCCTCCTCTTTTCTATTCTATATCTATTGCCTTATATTATTCTATTTCCTTTTCTATTACCTGTATCTATTGCCTATTATATCTATTGCCTTATATTATTCAGTACCTTTTTTTCTCGCCTCCTATTCTATTACCTGTATCTATTGCCTTATATTATTCAGTACCTTCTTTTTCTCGCCTCCTATTCTATTACCTGTATCTATTGCCTTATATTATTCAGTACCTTCTTTTTCTCCTCCTTTTCTATTACCTGTTCTATTACCTATATTATTCAGTACCTTTTCTCGCCTATATATCTATTCTTATATTATTTACCTTCTTTTTCTTTCCCTTCTATTACCTATTTCTATTGCCTTATATTATTCCTACTATTCTATTACCTGTATCTATTGCCTTATATTATTCAGTACCTTCTTTTCTCGCCTCCTTTTCTATTACCTGTATCTATTGCCTTATATTATTCAGTGCCTTCTTTTCTTTCTCTCCTATTCTATTACCTGTATCTATTGCCTTATATTATTCAGTACCTTCTTTTTCTCGCCTCCTTTTCTATTACCTGTATCTATTGCCTTATATTATTCAGTACCTTCTTTTCTCCCTCTTTTCTATTACCTGTATCTATTGCCTTATATTATTCAGTACCTTCTTTTCTCTCCTCCTTTTCTATTACTATTATATCTATTGCCTTATATTATCAGTAACCTGTACCTTTTTCTCCTCCCTATTTTCTATTATTATTCCTATATCTTTTTTGCCTTATATTATTGTATACCTTTATTTTTCTACCTTCTTTTTCTTAATTCTATTACGTACCTCTATCTATATTTTATTATTACCTTATCTTTTTCTCCTCCTTTTCTATTACCTTATATTATTCAGTACCTTCTTTTTCTTGCCTCCTATTCTATTACCTGTATCTATTGCCTTATATTATTCAGTACCTTCTTTTTCTCGCCTCCTTTTCTATTACCTATATCTATTGCCTTATATTATTCAGTACCTTCTTTTCTCTCCTTTTCTATTTCCTTATATCTATTGTACCTTTTATATTTTCTATTACCTGTATCTATTGCCTTATATTTTTACCTTCTTTATTCGCCTATTATATCTATTGCCTTATATTATTCAGTACCTTCTTTTTCTCGCCTCCTTTTCTATTACCTATATCTATTGCCTTATATTATTCAGTACCTTCTTTTTCTCTATTACCTATCTTTTCTTATATTATTCAGTACCTTCTTTTCTCGCCTTTTCTATTATTGCCTTATATTATTCAGTACCTTCTTTTCTCCTCTATTTCATTACCTGTATCTATTGCCTTATATTATTCAGTACCTTCTTTTTCTCGCCTCCTTTCTATTACCTGTATCTATTGCCTTATATTATTCATTACCTTCTTTTTCTCGCCTCCTTTTCTATTACCCTGTATCTATTGCCTTATATTATTCAGTACCTTCTTTTTCGCCTCCTATTCTATTACGTGTATCTATTGCCTCTTATATTATTCAGTACCTTCTTTTCTCTCCTCCTATTCTATTACCTGTATCTATTGCCTTATATTATTCAGTACCTTCCTATTATTCAATTTTATCTATTGCCTTATATTATTCAGTACCTTCTTTCTCTCCTCCTTTTCTATTACCTGTATCTATTGCCTTATATTATTCAGTACCTTCTTTTCTCGCCTCCTTTTCTATTACCTATATCTATTGCCTTATATTATTACCTTCTTTTCTCCTCCTTTTCTATTACCTATATTTGCCTTATATTATTCAGTACCTTCTTTTCTCGCCTCCTATTCTATTTTTCTATTCTTATATTATTCAGTACCTTCTTTTCTCTCCTCTATTCTATTACCTGTATCTATTGCATTATATTATTCAGTACCTTCTCTTTTTCTCGCCTCCTATTCTATTACCTGTATCTATTGCCTTATATTATTCAGTACCTTCTTTTTTCTCCTCCTTTTCTATTACCTGTATCTATTGCCTTATATTATTCAGTACCTTCTTTTTTCTCCTATTCTATTACCTGTATCTATTGCCTTATATTATTCAGTACCTTCTTTTTCTCGCCTCCTATTCTATTACCTGTATCTATTGCCTTATATTATTCACCTTCTTTTTTTTTCAATTACCTCTTTCTATTACCTGTATCTATTGCCTATTATATTATTCAGTACCTTCTTTTTCTCGCCTCCTATTCTATTACCTGTATCTATTGCCTTATATTATTCAGTACCTTCTTTTTCTCCTTTTTCTATTACCTGTATCTATTATCCTTTATTATTCAGTACCTTCTTTTCTCTCCTCTTTTTTACCTCTATCTATTGCCTTATATTATTTGCCTTTTTCTCGCCTCCTTTTTATTACCTGTATCTATTTTATTATTCAGTTTTTTTTCTCGCCTCCTTTTCTATTACCTGTATCTATTGCCTTATATTATTCAGTACCTTATTTTTTCTCGCCTCCTATTCTATTACCTGTATCTATTGCCTTATATTATTCAGTACCTTCTTTTTCTCCCTCCTTTTCTATTACCTATATCTATTGCCTTATATTATTTACTTTTTTTTTCTCTCCTCTTATTCTATTACCTGTATCTATTGCCTTATATTATTCTTACCTTCTTTTTCTCGCCTCCTTTTCTATTACCTGTATCTATTGCCTTATATTATTCAGTACCTTCTTTTTTTCCTCCTCCTATCTATTACCTATATCTATTTGCTTCTTTTATATTATTCAGTACCTTCTTTTTCTATATTATTCCTTTTCTATTACCTGTATCTATTGGGTTTTATATTATTCAGTCTTCTTTTTTTCGCCTCCTATTCTATTACCTATATCTATTGCCTTATATTATTCATTACTTTTTTTTCTCGCCTCCTTTTCTATTACCTATATCTATTGCCTTATATTATTCATAATACCTTCTTCTTTTTCTCGCCTCCTTTTCTATTACCTGTATCTATTGCCTTATATTATTTACCTTCTTTTTCTCCTCCTATTTTATTAAAAGATATTATTCTTTTTTCTCCTCCTATTCTATTCTTCTTCCTATTCTTCTCATATTATTCCTCCCTTCTTTTCTTCTCCTCTTATTCTTCTTCTATTATTCCCTCCTACTACTATTCTTCTCCTCCTATTCTTCTTCTGCTGCATATCCCTCCTACCTATTCTTCTTTCTTTATTCTTCTTCTCCCTTCTTCTTCTCCCTTCTTCTTTTCCCTCCTACTACTATTATTCCTATCTTCTTCTATTATTCTTCTTCTCTCATTCTTCCCTCCTTCATTCCTCCCTATTCTTCTCCTCCTATTCTTCTTCTGCTGCATTCATACCTACTACTATTCTTCTCCTCCTATTCTTCTTCTGTATGCATTCCCTCCTACTACTATTCTTCTCCTCTTATTCTTCTTCTGCTCCATTCCTCCTACTTCTATTCTTCTCCTACCTTCTTCTTCTGCTGCATTCCCTATTCTACTACTATTCTTCTCCTCCATTATTCTTCTTCTGCTGCATTCCCCCTCCTACTACTATTCTTCTCCTATTCTTCTTCTCCTATTATTCTTCTCCTTCTATTCTTCTTTCCCTTCTACTATTATTCTTCTCCTCCTATTCTTCTTTGCTGCATTCCCCTACTACTATTCTTCTCCTCCTATTCTTCTTCTTCTTATTCCCTCCTACCTATTCTTTTTTCTTCTTCTTCATTCCCTCCTATCTATTCTTCTATTATTCTATTCTTCTTCTGCTGCATTCCCTCCTACTTCTATTCTTCTCCTCCTATTCTTCTTATTCATTTTCCTCCTCTATTCTTCTCCTCCAATTCTTCTTCTGCTGCATTCTTCTTCTCCTTCTACTATTCTTCTTCTCCTATTCTTTCTTCTTCTGCTATTCCTCCTACTACTATTCTTTATTCTTCTTCTTGCATTCCTCCTTCTATTCTTCTTCTCCTTCTTCTTCTTCTTCTATTCTGCATTTCCTTCTTACTACTACTTTCTTCTCCTCCTATTCTTCTTCTTCTGCATTCCCCTTCTTTTTCTTCTCCTCCTATTCTTCTTCTTCTGCATTCCCTCCTACTACTTCTTCTTCTCCTCCTATTCTTCTTCCTGCATTATTCCTACTATTATCCTTCTTTTCTTCTTCTTATTCATTCCCATTCTACTATTCATCCTCCTATTCTTCTTCTTTTCTTCTTCTATTCTTCTCCTATTCCTATTCTTCTTCTTCTTCTATTTCTCCTCCTACTACTATTCTTCTCCTCTATTCTTCTTCTTCTCATTCCCTCCTACTACTATTCTTCCTCCTATTCTTCTTTTATTCTATTCTTCTCCTCCTATTCTTCTTCTCTGCATTCCCATTCTACTATTCTTCTCCTATTCTTCTTCTGCTGCATTCCTCCTCCTATTCTTCTCCTATATTATTCTTCTTCATTCCTCCTATTCTATTCTTCTGTCCTATTCTTCTTCTATTATTCCCTACCTACTTTTTCTTTCCTCCTATTCTTCTTCTTCTGCATTCCCTCCTACTACTATTCCCTTTTCTCTCCTCCTATTCTTCTTCTGCTGCATTCCTCCTACTATTCTTCTCCTTATTTTTCCCTCCTACTCTATTCTTCTCCTTCTATTCTTCTTCTCTTATTCCCTCCTACTATTCTTCTCCTCCCTATTCTTCTTCTCTGCATTTCCCTACTACTATTCTTCTCCTCCTATTCTTCTTCTGCTTCATTCCCTCCTCCTATTCTTCTCCTCTATTCTTCTTCTGCTGCATTCCCTCCTACTATTATTCTTCTCCTTCTTCTTCTTCTTCTTCTACTATTCTTCTTCTATCTATTCCCTCCTCCTATTCTTCTCCTCCATTCTTCTTCTGCTTTATTCCTTACTTATTCTTCTCCTCCAATTCTTCTTCTTTTTCCCCTCCTACTACTATTCTTCTCCTCCTATTCTTCTTCTGCTTCTTTTCCCTCCTACTATTCTTTCCTCCTATTTTCTTCTTTTTCCCTCCTACTACTATTCTTCTCCTCCAATTCTTCTTCTGCTGCATTCCTCCTACTACTATTCTTCTCCTCCTATTCTTCTTCTCTGCCCTTTCCTCCTACTACTATTCTTCTCCTTCTATTCTTCTTCTGCTGCATTCCCTCCTACTACTATTCTTCTCCTCCAATTCTTCTTCTTCTATCTATTTTTCCTACTACTATTCTTCTCCTCCTATTCTTCTTCTTCTGCATTCCCTCCTACTACTATTCTTCTCCTCCTATTCTTCTTCTGCTGCATTTCCCTTCTACTATTCTTCTCCTCCTATTCTTCTTCTATTGCATTCCCTTATTACTATTCTTCCTCCAATTCTTCTTCCTATTCATTTCCTTCTACTATTCTTCCCTCCTACTTCTTCTTCATTCTCCTCCTATTCTTCTTCATTCTTCTTCTGCATTCCCTCCTACTACTATTCTTCTCCTCCTATTCTTCTTCTGCTGCATTCCCTCCTACTTCTATTCTTCTCCTCCTATTCTTCTTCTATGCATTCCCTCCTACTATTATTCTTCTCCTCCAATTCTTCTTCCTGCATTCCCTTACTACTATTCTTCTATCTATTGCATTCCTACTTCTATTCTTCTCCTCCTATTCTTCTTTCATTTCCTACCTATTCTTCTCCTCCTATTCTTCTTCTGCTGCATTCCTCCTACTACTATTCTTCTCCTCCTATTCTTCTTCTTGCTGCATTCCCTCCTACTACTATTCTTCTCCTCCTATTCTTCTTCTGCTGCATTCTTTCCTACTCTATTCTTTCCTCCTATTCTTCTTCTGCATTCCCTCCTTTACTATTCTTCTCCTCCTATTCTTCTTCTCCTCATTCCCTATTACTATTCTTCTTCTATTCTTCTTCTTATTTCCTCCCTTCTTTTCTTCTCCTCCTATTCTTCTTCTGCTGCATTCCTCCTACTACTATTCTTTCTCCTCCTATTCTTCTTCTGCTTTCATTCCCTCCTTTACTATTCTTCTCCTCCTATTCTTCTTCTGCTGCATTCCCTCCTACTACTATTCTTCTCCTCCAATTCTTCTTTGCATTCCCTCCTTACTACTATTCTTCTCCTTCTATTCTTCTTCTGCTGCATTCCCTTCTACTATTCTTCTCCTCTATTCTTCTTCTGCTGCATTCCCTCCCTACTATTCTTCTCCTCCTTATTCTTCTTCTGCTTCATTCTCCTCTACTATTCTCCTCCTATTCTTTCTTCTCCTCCTACTTATTCTTCTCCTCCTATTCTTCTTCATTCCCTCCTACTATTCTTCTCCTCCTATTCTTCTTCTTTGCATTATTCCTACTACTATTCTTCTCCTCCAATTCTTCTTCTGCTGCATTCCCTTACTATTATTCTTCTCCTCCTATTCTTCTTCTATTCCCTTACTATTCTTCTCCTCCTCCATTCCTCCTACTACTATTCTTCTCCTCCTATTCTTCTTCTGCTGCATTCTTTTCTTACTACTATTCTTCTCCTCCTATTCTTCTTCTTCTGCATTCCCCTCCTTCGCTTTCTTCTCCTCCTATTCTTCTACTTCATTCCTTCCCTACTATTCTTCTCCTCCTATTCTTCTTCTGCTGCATTATTCCTTACTATTCTTCTCCTCCTTCTTCTTCTTCTGCTGCATTCTTCTTCTTCTTCTTCTTCTCCTATTATTCTTCTTCTTCTGCATTCCCTCCTACTATTCTCTTCTTCTCCTCCTATTCTTCTTCTATTCTTCTTCTGCATTCCCTCCTACTACTATATTCTTCTCCTCCTATTCTTCTTCTGCTTCATTCCCTTTATTACTACTATTCTTCTCCTCCTATTCTTCTTCTGCTGCATTCTTCTATTCTTCTCCTCCTATTCTTCTTCCTGCAATTCTTCTTCTTCTTTCTTCTTCTTCTGCTATTCTTCTATTCTTCTTTTCTCTTCTCCATTCTTCTACTCTTCTTCTCCTTATTCTTCTTCTGCTGCATTCCCTCTTACTACTATTCTTCTCCTCCAATTCTTTCTTCTTCTTCTTCATTCTTCTCCTCTACTATTCTTCTCCTCCAATTCTTCTTCTTCTTCCTACTATATTCTTCTCCTCCTTCTTCTTCTACATTCCCTCCTACTACTATTCTTCTTCTCCTATTCTTCTTCTGCTGCATTCCCTTACTTCTATTCTTCTATTCCAATTCTTCTTTCTTCTTCTTCTACCTGCTATTCTCCTCCTATTCTTCTTCTTCATTTCTCCTTCTTCTTCTTCTTCTTCTGCCTTCCTATTATTCTTCTTCTTCTATTCCCTCTTCCTATTCTTCTCCTCCTATTCTTCTTCTGCTGCATTTCCCTCCTACTACTATTCTTCCTCCAATTCTTCTTCTGCTGCATTTCCTACTCTATTCTTCTCCTCTATTCTTCTTCTGCTCATTCCCTCCTACTACTATTCTTCTCCTCCAATTCTTCTTCTTTCATTCTTCCTACTACTATTCTTCTCCTGTATTCTTCTTCTCTATTCTCCTTCTTCTCTCTTCCTCCTATTCTTCTTCTTGTATTCCTCTTCCTATTATTCTCCTATTCTTCTTCTCTGCTTCCCTATTCTATTATTCTTCTATTCTATTCTTCTTCTGCTACCTTCTTTTCTCTCTTCTATTCTTTCCTCCTATTCTTCTTCTTCTTCTTCTATTCCCTCCTACTACTATTCTTCTCCTCCTATTCTTCTTCTCTGCATTCCCTCCTACTACTATTCTTCTCCTCCTTTTCTTCTTCTGCTGCATTCCCTCCTACTACTATTCTTCTCCTTACCTTCTTCTTTCATTTCCTTCTATTACTATTCTTCTCCTTATTCTTCTTCTGCTGCATTCTTTCTTATTCTATTCTTCCTCCTCCTATTCTTCTATTCTTCTATTCCTTCTTCTTATTCTTCTCTTTTCCTTCTTTTCTCTATCTCCTCTATTCTTCTTCTCCTCCCTATTCTTTTCCCTCCCCTTCTACTTCTATTCTTCTTCTCCTTATTCTTCTTCTGCTGCATTCTTTTCCTA